TCAAAAAAAAAAAAAAAAAAAAAAAAGAAATTGGGTGATTTTTGACTGGGTATGGTAGCTTACACCATTTAAAACCAGTGCTTGGGAAATGAAGGCAGGAGGATTGTTTCAGGCTAGGAGTTGGAGACCAGAGACCAACACAGCAAGTCCATGTCTCTAAAAAAATTTTTTTTTAAAAAATCTGGGCATGGTGGCAAGCACCTGTAGTCCCAGCTACCTGGGAGGCTGAGGTAGGAGCATCATTTGAGTGTAGGAATTGGAGGCTGCAATGCGCTATGATCATGCCATTGCATTCTAGCCTGGGATGCAACAGAGTGAGACCTCATGTCTTAAAAAATAAAGAAAAGGGCTGGGCGTAATCACACCTGTAATGCTAACACTTTGGGAGGCCCAGGCGGGCGAATCACAAGGTCGGGAGATGGAGACCATCTTGGCCAACATGGTGAAACCCCATCTCTACTAAAAATACAAAAATTAACTGGACATGGTGGTGTGCGCCTATAGTCCCAGCGACTCAGGAGGCTGAGGCAGGAGAATTGCTTGATCCTGGGAGGCGGAGGTTGCAGTGAGCCAAGGTCATGCCACTGCACTCCAGTCACGGAGACTCTGTGGCAAAAAAATAATAAATAAATAAATAAAAAAAAAGATTAAGAAAAAGAAAACAAAGTGGGTGATATTTATGAACCAGAAACTCTGAAGATTTAGTTTGAAGAATACAGATCTTTTTGAACCAGCAGTGCTAGGTGTGTTCAGAACTGGGATTGAGAGCTCAAGCCACCTATGTCTAGGCTTCTGTTACACCATAGCTTTTTCACAAGTGACGTAAGAACTAAAAACACTGAAATAAACATACCTCATGGTAAGTGAAAGATATATGTGTGGTGGCTCACGCCTGTAATCCCAACATTCTGGGAGGCATAGATGGATGGATTACTTGAGTCCAGGAGTTTGAGACCAACCTGAGCAATGTAGTGAGACTTTGTCTATACAAAAAGTAAAAAAAATAGCTGGGGCCAGGCATAGTGGCTCACGCCTATAATCCCAGCACTTTGGGAGGCCAAGGGCATGGATCACTTAAGGGCAGGAGTTTTAGATCAGCCTGGCCAACATGGTGAAAACCCCCATCTCTACTAAAAATAAAAAATTAGCCAGGTGTAGTGGTGTGTGCCTGTAATCCCAGCTACTAGGGAGCCTGAGACAGGAGAATCACTTGAACCTGGGAGACAGAGGTTGCAGTAAGCCAAGATTATACTACTGTACTCCCGCTTGGGTGACAGAGCAAGACTTTGTCTCAAAAAAAAAAAACAAAAAAACCAAAAACAAACAAACAAAAAAAAAAACGAGGCCAGGCGCGGTGGATCACAAGGTCAGAAGTTTGAGACCAGCTTGGCCAATATGGTGAAACCCTGTCTTTACTAAAAATACAAAAATTAGCTGGGCATGATGGTGTATGCCTGAAGTCCCAGCTACTTGGGAGGCTGAGGCAAGAGAATTGCTTGAACCTAAGAGGCAGAGGTTGCAGTGAACTGAGAGCGAGCCACTGCACACCAGCCTGGGTGACAGAGTAAGACTCCATCTCAAAAAAAAAACAACCAAAAAACAATTAGCTGGGCATGGTTGTGTGTGCCTGTAGTCCCAGCTATTCAGGAGGGCTGAGATGGGAGGATCAGTTGAGCATGAGAAGTTGAGGCTGCAGTGAATTGTGATTGAGCCACGGCACTCCAGCTTGGATGACAGAGTGAGACACTGTCTCAGAAAAAAAGAAAAAGAAAGAAAATGGTATATATTCTATCCTTGCTTTTTGGAAGAATAATTTGGTATTAGGTGCTTTTTTTAATAGTTCATGACTTTGAAATATAAGTAGAGACATGTTTTATGAAAAAAGAATATGCAGAATATCTGAAATTGTTGGTAGATTTTAGGTAAGCACTGTTAATTTTTTTTTGAGACGGAGTCTCATCTGTCACCCAGCTGGAGTGCAGTGGTGCATCTCAGCTCACTGGAACCTCCACCTCCCAGGTTGAAGCATTTCTTGTGCCTCAGCCTCCTGAATAGCAGGGACTACAGGCACCCGTCACTACACCTGGCTGATTTGTTATATTTTAGTAGCGACAAGGTTTCACCATGTTGCCGGGATGGGCTCAAACTCCTGAGCTCAGGCAATCCACCATATTGGCCTGTCAAAGTGCTGGGATTATAGGCACGAGCCATTGTGCCCGGCCAATATTGTTAAAATTTTTTTGAGATGAGGTGTAACTGTGTCGCCCTGGCTGGAGTGTAGTGGCGTGATCAGGCTCACTGCAGCCTCAACCTCCTGGGCTCAAGTGATTCTCCTGCTTCAGCTCCTTAGTAGCAAGACATTACAGGCACAGGCCACTATGCCCAGCTAATTTTTTTTTTTTTTTTTTGGGGGGTAGAGATGAGGTCTCAGTATGTTGCTCAGGGAGGTCTCAAATGAACCTCCCACCTGGGCCTCCCAGAGTGCTGGGATTACAGGCCTGAGCCACTGCACCTGGCCATCCTCACTGTTCTAGTCTTGCCAGGCCGGTCAGCTTCCTCCTTATACCTCAGAGGCAATCCCAGTGTTCCTGGGTCCAGATGCTCTTCTGACTTTCCTCCCCTCACTGGGCCTTCTCTTCCGCCCTCTCTTTGATCCTTCCCTCTCCTCTCCTCCCAGCCTTCTCCAGTTATTTTCCTTCTCCAGGTCTTCTTTCCTTTCCAACTTTGCCTCCTTTTCTACCCGAGCCTTTGCCCCATTTTCCAGCTACCTCCCTGCCTGATCCTAGGCTTCCAAAGCTTCCTGTTTCACCTCCTCTCTCCAACTTCTCCAGGCCCCGGGAGCCCTGAACTTGACTCCACCCAGCCCCAGGCCTTCCCCTTGAGTGTCCCCCTTCCTCACCTGCACCGGTGCCAGCTCTGGAGTCAGCGCAGTTCCTGCTCGACGTCCATCCCGTGGCACTCGCCTCCTCTTCCGCCCACTGGGCCCCTCGATGGGGACTGGGCTGCCAGGTTCTGGGGGTGCAGGAGTCCTTCTCGGTGGGGACAGTGCATCTTTCTCTGGAGGCTCATTCTCAGCATTGCCTGGGGTGGGGGCGTCTGTGCCCTGGCTGCCCTCATCCTGGCAGGGAGGAGTGGGAGGTAGGTGACGGTGTGTCCTGGGCTCCCAGTTCCTGCCCCTCCTGGAGGCCCGGCACTCACCTCCAGCACAATGGTGAACTGGCTGGCCCGGTAGTCATCCCCGTAGGAGTCCAGCACTCTCATGAGGAACCTGCTCGGGGAGAAGCCACCAATGGAATGAGTTAATCTCCTGGCAGTTGGGGAAGAAGGGCCACAGGATAGAGCTCAGCTCCCGCTCCACTCGAAGCCAAAGCTGTCCTGGACCCAGGAGGTCCTGAGCTCTGGCGCTGGAGGCCTGGAGCAAGACAAGGCAGCCATTCTGAGGCTGAGTTTCCTGCTCTGCAAACGGGATGACAGCCTCGACTGGCTGGGTGCCGTGGTGGTGATGACGCAGTGATACCAGAGGATTTCTGTAAAGTACCTAATGTGATATCAGCACTTAGGAAACGTTCATATGTGAGTTAGAGTTTTTTTGGTTTTTTTTTTTTTTTTGAGA